AGCTAAGCCCATAGGATTGAGTTCAAACTGGAAGTTATAGTCTCTCTGTACATCCAGTTATATGAGCCAGACATTTACCTACACCACTGTGCTTGGGGCACCTGTCCCTTGTAGCTGAAGCCATCCTGATGGACACTGCTCTCTATAAAAGGCCCCTCCCTGTGCACCCGCAACAACTTTGTCTGAATCTGTCTCCAGGAACTGTTCATCCTCTTTATCCATGTCGCTTATCCTCTTTCGAAGAATATTTTGAGTCTCTGCTCAGTCCCCGTGGTTGGGCTCACCTTGCTCTTTACCTTGCTCCTCACTCGGCCATGACTGGCAGGGAGCCCAGTGGATGGTCAGAGTCCTGGGCATCCTGCTCGCCTGGGAGAGCCTCCCAGTTTCCCTCAGCTCCCACACCTCCCAGGCTTCCCAGGACTGTGCCTGGCACAGCAGCTCTGCCAAGCCAGTGCCTCCAGGTGTCCACGGACCAGAAAAGAGCATGTGCAGGGGGTTAGGAATTGGGTGATGCTCTCACCTTAAGCACCTCCAGCCTCATGCTGAGGCCCTGTGTTACTGCTTCTAAAACGAAGCCCTGAGACTGCCAGTAGCAGAATCACCAGGATCAGGATCAGATACTTGTTCAAAGTGCAGTTTCAGGATGTGGCTGTGAAAGCCGTAGATTTCACAGCTGAATCCACGGTTATCTCCCATTCCAGATTCCTTCAAAGACAGCTCAGAGGCCAAGACAATGAGGAAGGGGCTGGGAAAGAGGAAAAATTATGAAGGCGAAGGGAAAGGTGGGAAGTGGGACAGAGATGCTGGACTGTTTCCAGGGCACAGTGGGGAAACGCCATCTAAAGGCAGACTCAAATTCTGTCAGCCTCTGGTTTTCCAGTGTCTGTAACGCTCACTGTGCACATCCACTACCAGCCTTTGTCTTCTGGTGTAATTTTGACCCAGGCACATCCAGCCTCACAGTGGAAGCATTCACAAATCACAGGGTATCCATAAAAAAATGAATGGTCCAAACCGCAAAGGTCAGAGCAAGGTTTTATAAAACAGCAATTGAGGAGTCACAAAAAAGTTGTATACTAGTTAGCAATTTCACAAATATGAAATATATTTCAACCTCACCTCCCAAGTCCAAGCCAGTTGCTATTGCTCATTCCATTCTTTGCAGCTTTATAAGTTCTTTCCCAGCGAGAAAGCGAAACGGACCCATCCCTTCCCTCACCTTATGAAATATGTTTTACACGATAGAGTGCAGATTGTACGGAAAGTAATGGCTGTAATTTCTGATGGCTAACTTACTCTGAGTTGGGTTTAGGAAGAGTTTAGTTATTGCTGGGGGTGGGGGAAGGGTATTTTGGTACCATTTTCTTTCTTTTTTGGAAAATAAGTGATGAATGGGAATTAAAAGTTTATTCTGGAATTCAGATCTATTTAAAATGGACTGATGAAATTCCCTCAGACCCTCCTCATATTCACAGTGAATCCCCTTGTGCCTTTTATTACAACAAATCCACACATTTCTTCCTCTTCTGCTCCCACTGCCCCAATTCTCATTGCACATGTTGATGACAAGAATTTCATTCTTGCTCACTCGAGGAAAATTAAATTAGTCTGAGGCCTGGGATGCGTGACCATCCCAGGAAAAAAAAAAAAAAGTCTATTGTATAGACTAATGAGTGGATCTATTTTTTGTATTCTTGTTTTTAAATTACATTGGAGACACCACATAGAGTCAACTTACAATGCATTGGATGTTTATATTAGAACTCAAAGGTCAGGTGTTGGAATCTGGGCCTTCTGGTCACCAATATTTCACCCATCTCTTATTCTCTAGTTGAATGGCTTTCAAAGTGGCTGTGTATCCAGATTAAGTTTCCTAAAAGTGCAGATTTTCTGACGCAACTCAAATGTAACAAATCTAACACTCTGAGGTTCCATTTTCTTTTTATTAATATAAATATATTTTTATTGATTTCAGAGAGGAAGGGAGAGGAGAGAGAGATTGAAACATCAACAATGAGAGAAAAATCACTGATTGGCTGCCTCCTGCACACCACGCTGGGAATCGAGCCCGCAACCCTGGCATGTGCCCTGACCAGGTTCATAGGTCGATGTTCCACCACTGAGCCATGCCAGCCACTCTGCTCTCTCTCTCTCTCTCTCTCTCTCTCTCTCTCTCTCTCTCTCTCTCTCTCTTTCTCTCCCCCCCCCCCCCCTCCCCCCCCCCCCCCCCCGCCCCGTGTGATTCTCACACAGCCACCAGGAACCCACTTACGGAAGACATTTGGGAATCACTTTTCAGATCTAGGAATTCTTGAGCTTGTGTGTGCATCAGGAGCACCTGAAGGAGGCCTTAGTAAAATACAGATTGAACCCCAGAGTTTCTGAGTCAATGTCTGCAATGGAGAACTCACATTTCTAATGAGTTTCTAGGTAATCTGATCCTGCTGGTCTGGGGACCACACTTGGCGAGCCCTGGGCTGTAACCCAGTTACTTGTGAACATCTTATTATTCATTAGCATTTCTATTATGTGGCCAAGGACTGGGTTCAGAGGAAGAAGTAATCCTCTCATGAGAAGAGTAACACACCGAGCTGAACATCACTGAATCTACTGAATCAACACCATGAAGCCCTAGGAATTTTATTGTTATGAGTTATGCAAAAGGTTCTGATTTATTATAAAGACTTGAAACATTGCCTTAGATGAGCCAGACTTATGAGTTCATGAAGAACTTTTATTTGTAGAAATTATTTTAAAAAGTATTTGTTGTTTCTCTAAAATTCAGACTCAATGGCTCACTCCATGTCTTTATTTGGAAACCTGGCACCTGTACTTACTAGGCTATCTTTGCCAAGAGTTAGTTTTCTTTGTATGATCCCTCTTTTGCTCAACATAGCTCTAGTTTAAATGCCTATGGAAGTGGTGGTGAGTAGTGAAATCCATACAAACATGATGTGTGGGAGTGAAGAAGAGAAAATTAAGATGTTTCCTCAGGAAAGAAAACACACACACACGAAGGAAAATTCATTAATCTAGACAGCAGAAACAAAGTCAGAAAGAAAATGTCTGCTAATGGTTTTTCACCAGACAATTCGTCAATTACACAGTCAAAAGAAACCCTGAGGAACAAAAAGACAGCAAAGATGCTATTAAACTGTTCCAAGTGAAGCCATATATAATTAATTTCAAACAAGCGTAGCTACAAAAACTCAAATACTTCAAGGTGCTGAGTGAGAGGTGGGATAAATCTGTATCAGGCTTCAAAACGACGCTTCCAGGTGAGCCTACTATTCAACCATAAGCAGGGAGATAATAATGTCTGCCTCCTCCCTGTTTTATTGGAGGCAGAAAAGCCTTAAGTTGAGACCCTCCCATTGCATCAAAGAGAAGAAAAAACAAGCACAGGGCTCAGCCCCTGACATCAGCTCGTAACAATTAAGAGACTGAATCAAATAAGTGGGACAAACAAAACAGAGAAGAAAAATGCCAGTGATGCAGAAGAAAAAGAAAATAAGGGAAGTGACCTGGCAAGCCCTTCCTAGGCTGAGTAACCACCATGAGCACCACGGGCTCTGCAAAGCAAGCAGCATTCTGCCACTGCATTCGTACCATTTCAGAGGTCAGAGGTCGGCACTTTTCCTGTAAAGGACAAGGCAGTACATATTTCAGACTTAGCAGGCCATACACACTTTGCTGCATCTATCTACTCACCCTTCCTGTGTAGCATGAGAGCAGCCCTAGACAATATGTAAATGAAAAGACATGGCTGTGTTCCAATAAAACTTCATTCACAAAAATAGGCAGTTGGTATGGAGTAAATGTTCATACCCTCCATCCCAATTCGTATGTTGAAGCCAAATTCCTAATGTGATGATATTTGGATGTGGGACCTTTGAGAGATCATTCGGTCATGAGTGCAGAGCCCTCATGAATGGGATGCAGGGAATGGAGCTCTCTCCCTGCTTTCTGCCCTGCGATCATACAAACAGATGGTGTTCTGCAAACCCTGATGAGGGCCCTCACCAGACACAATCTGCAGGCATCTTAACCTTGGACTTCCCAGCACCCAGAACTGTGAGAATTAAATGTTTTTGTTTCAGCCATTTAATCAAAAGTGTATTTATTATAGCAGTCTAGCAGACTAAGAATGGTGAGGCATATTTGGCCCATGGGCCATAATTTACCAACCCCCATCATAGGTGGGGCATGTGGCAAGGATAGTATCATTAATGGGTACTATGGAGCACTGATGATGGATATTCAATAAAACACAAAGACTCCATTAACTCATCACAAGGCCAGAGTGCTTAAAGATCACCCCAAAGTGTAAAGAAGGAAATGAGGATTCTGGGAATAAAAAGAAAGTGCTTATTTGAAACTCTGAGACTGTACAAAATGAAGAAGGAGATACAGGGACACAGAGAAGTTGACTGTGCGGGAAAGGGGGACCATCTTGCTAGGTCCTCTGCCTTTAATTTGCTACTCCTGAGAGTTCATCATGTGATAAGCTATCATCCTCCTTCATCAAGGAGGTTTCCTGACCTTCTAAATTCACAGACTTTGCATTTAGCATCCTACCACGTGTACTTCCCCCAAAAGAAAAATACGACATCACTTTGGCATGAAGTTTTGTAGTTTAAGCCAGAAAATATCCCCCAGCATGTGAGTAAAAAACATAACTTCAGTGACCTCCTTTATGACACTGGTAAATGTGTTTCATCTGAGATCTTTTTTCTTTCTTTTTTTTAATTTATTTTATTGATTTTGTACAGAGAGGAAGAGAGAGAGATAGAGTTAGAAACATCGATAAGCGAGTGTCATCGATCAGCTGCCTCTTGCACACCCCCTACTGGGGATATGCCCACAACCAAGGTACATGCCCTTGACCGGAATCAAACCCGCGACCCTTCAGTCCCCAAGCCGACGCTCTATCCATTGAGCCAAACCGGTTTCGGCTCATCTGAGATCTTCATGTTAGTCAGGCAACACCGAAGCAAGCATTTTACTTTGTATAATTTAAAAGCTTTATTCTCCTCCACACACACACACAATAAGCAGGCATTGCTTTTTCATTGGGAGAAAGGTTAGACTTCCTAGAGACGCTCTGAGCTGACCACAGAAAGAGAAGATCTGACCCTGCAGCTTCTGAAAGGGTCAATGAGGTCAAGAAGTCCTGTCAGCCAAAGGCCTGGTCGGTGAGGACGACATAGGCCGCTACAGCCTGTCTGTTGTGGGTGCCGGCAGGATCCTTCCTGCCAAAGTGACAAAATGCAGCCTCTTCGACCAGGAAGCCTGGATGCCAGATAATGCCCTCAGTCTGGGCCATATTTTCTTCCAGAATCTCACATCCTCATGCAAGAGCGTTTTAAGGAAGCAAACAACTGTCTTCTGCTTTGGAGTCCAATGCATGCTCTTCACCAATCGCAAGACTGGTCCTCACTCAAAAGTTCACTGTTTACACAGTTTTTAGTTTGTGCGTCAGAGGGCTGGACTCTGCCTCTCCCAGGAATGGCGGCATCATATCCATGGAAGCATGAAAGCCCAGGCAAGCGCTGGCAGGCAGAGCGTGTGGGCACTGCTCCCAGACGTTCTCTGAGCGTGCATGACGGCGAAGACAGCGTTGGTGTGGTTGGTGGGTAATTCCACATTGCAGATCATTCCTTCACAGCATGACCTACACTCCTGTTACAAAAGGAAGCGGAGAGGGAAATGAGAGAATGAATAAGAGGAAGAAGAGGGCAGGGTGAAACAAACAAACAAACAAACAACAAAACAAAAGCTCTGGATCTCTAGCTGAGCACAGACGGAATTAGAGTTAGTTAACCAGTCTATCAGCCATGCAGGCCCTTGGGTAGCCTTCCTTCTACTGGCCTGAAAGAAAGGGACATCTGGAGAATCTTTTCTTTTTCATGGTGTTTTATCTACACCAGCCCCAGCATAAGCAGGGGAAAGAAGAGGAAGGGCAACTGAATAAAACTGTTTGATTGAGTCAACAAATCTTCCAAAGGTTTGTAAGGGAAAACACTGAGACAAAAATGAAAGCTAGAAGCATCTTGGATTGCCCATTGATTTTCTTTCTCAGTGCTCCTTGTTAGAGGATAATAATGCCCCTCTATTGTCTATGGAACACCTGATTACTATCATTACAACAGCAATGACTTGCTAATTATGGCTGCTGAGCGATGAAAAGTGCTTGCTCCCTGATAGCACAAGGTGTTTTTCAGGGGAAGCCATCACCTGCCTTATTACTTGGTAAATGCTTCAACCTCACAATCCTTGCCATTCACAGAGGCAGTCCAGGATGGCTAGGGAAGATAAAGACAGTGACTCTGAAATCTCTTTATCAGTGCTAACACATCAGAATCTCCTTGGGGAACTTAAAACAAAAAAATATCCTGAGGCCCAGGACCCCACCCGGAGGTTATGTCTCACTTGGCCTGGGATGCCCCCTCCCACCACCAACACGGCTTATCCAAGCTCCCCAGGAGGCTCTCCATGCAGCCAGAGCTATTATAGAAGCCACTAGTGCCAGGCTCTTTTCTATACATACCGGCTAAGTCAAGTTCTAAAACCTCATGAAATTAACATTCTCTCAAGTAATTTTTTTCTCAAGCATTTTAGGGTCCCAGGCATATAAAAGAGTAAAATGCACCATGACCAGTTTGGCTTAGTGGATAGAACATCGGCCTGCAGACTGAAAGTTCCCAGGTTTGATTCCGGTCAAGGGCATGTACCTGGGTTTCGGGCACATCCCCAGTAGGTGTGCAGGAGGCAGCTGATAAATATTTCACTCTCATCGATGTTTCTAACTCTCTATCCCTATCCCTTCCTCTGTAAAAAATTAATAATATATATATATATATATTTTTTTTTTTTTTTTTAAGAATAAAATGCTCATTTAGAATATTAGGATGAAAAAATCAGAGCGCTATTGATCTATAGTTCATCATATTAAGCTGAGGTTAATCTTTCAGACTCTTGCTTCCTCATCTAAGCAGAGCTAGTGGGTGAGAAGGTGCCACCGTTTCCCTCTTTCCACCTTCCAGCTGCCCTATCCAGTCTTCTTGGTGATTTCTGAACATAAAATAAGTGAGCTGAGCTCTGTAGCACTTGTCTTTCTCTCATGGATGGTTTATTCTTGGACTTCCAGACATAACTTCAGAGAATCCACCCAAAGTCCAAGGTCCAGGGTCTAGGCCTATATCTAGGAACTATCATTCAATTTTAGTAAGATTATTTTTTGTTGAAGAACAGAAAATCTTCAACTTCTCTTAGGTTTCCATTGCATCACTGTATAAACATGTTCAACATATTACTTATTCTTCCTGCCTCTCCATGACATATAACTAACTGTCACTAGCAAGACACCTTAGGGCAGTAACTTCACACACACACACACACACACACACACACATACACACACTCCTTACTGTATGTTCAGAATCTCGGCTGTGGTGGCAGCCAATTGAATGACATTCACTTCTGGAGGCACACTTTTTGGTTATGGATGTGCTTCTTCCATGACTGGTAAAGTGATGAACGGTCAAACAGTACTGTGTGTCTAGGCAGGAGGAAAAGAAAAGACGACTTCATTTTTTACACTGCAAAAGACACTCAACTATCACTTCAGAAATTACTAAAATTCAGGATGATTCTCAGGTTTCTAGGCAAGAAATACAATGGCAGAGATCTCTAGGGTTTCTAGGTGGTATTTTTTAAAAGGATTTCACTATTGGCCCAGACAGTGTGGCTCAGTGGTTGAGTATCAGTCTATGAACTAGGAGGTCACAATTTGATTTCCCACCATGGTACATGCCTGGATTGTAGGCTCAATCCCCAGTGTTGGGGTACAGGAGGCAGGCAATCAATGATTCTTTCATTATTGATATTTCTATCTCTCCCTTTTCCTTCTTCTCTACAATTATATATATATATATATATATATATGTATATATATATACAATCATTTTTGAAGCATTTTTAAAATGAATATAAAATGGGTACCTATCCTTTGGTGCCAGCTAAAACTGAGAAAAAAACTGGACAAGCTTTTCATCAAAACCATAGGTTTTCCCATTTCATATGAAAGTGTCAGTATCTATCTCTGCTTCATCTCTCTCTCTCTCTCTGAACCACATGTTCTATGCCTAAAATAAAGTGAAAAATGTGAATTTAAAATGGTATGGATCAGAATACTCTGGTTGTATTATTCAACATTTGATAGATTAATAGGCCATGTGGAATGAAAAGCAGGTGCTTCAAAGACCACCTTCCTTACTCAAAGTATTTCTATTTTTCCTCTTCTTTAATTAGCTGTTACTTTATCTGTCCCCTTCCCCCACTTTATAGCTAACCCATTTCTACATGGACCTATCCTTATAGCTTTAATCACTCACATCTTATTACTTAGGGTTCTCTAAAGAGAATGATTTCACTCACCACCCCAGAACATTTCACTTTAGTTCTGTAATTCTTCTATGGTTACCTCAGGCCAATAAAATGCTGTTTCATTTATAGAGAAGAAACTATAATAGCAATATCATAGAAAGGAGAAAAATACTTGACTAAAGTTGAGAATACTGGACATATGAAATTGCCTTTGTCATAAGCAAGCAAGCCATGTTAGCAACTTTGAGGTAATTTTTTTATTTTTCTTAATGTTTACTATTATTTAAAAATTTTTATTGAGGTAACAATGCTTATTAACATTATGTAAATTTCAGGTGCACAATATTATCATTTGATATCTGTGCACTATCCAGTGTGCTCACCACGAAAAATCTAGTTTCCTTCTATTAGCATATGGAAACCCCTTTACCCCATTCACCCTCCCACCTTCTCTCTAGTAACAACCTATCTGTTGTATCCATGACTTTATCTTTGTTTTGTTACTTTTTGGTTTTATATTCCATATATAAATAAAATCGTGTGTTAATTTGTTCTTTTCCATCTAATTTATTTCACTTAGCACAATACCCTCAAGAAATATTGGCAATATTTCAACATTACTATCTTTTTTAGGCTGAGTAGTTTTCCATTGCATACCTGCACCACTCTTCGTTAACCACTCATCTGTCAGTGGACACTTAGGTTGCTTCCCCAGCTTGGCTATTGTAAATAATGCTGTAGTGAACATGGAGGTGCATATATCTTTACAAATAGTGTTTTCATATTCTTCGTATAAATACCCAGAAGAGGAATTGCTGGATCATATGGTAGCTTTAGTCTTAATTTTTTGAAGAACCTCCATAATGTTTTCCATCATGGCTGTACCTGTTTACAATGAATGAGGGTTCCTCTTTTTCCACATCTTTTAAAATATGTATTATTTCTTACATTATAGATAATAACCATTCTAACAGGAGTGAGGTGGTATCTCACTGTGATTTTGATTTACATTTACATTATAGCTAGTGAAGTTGAGCATCTTTTCAGATATCTGTTGGCCATTTACATGTCTTCTTGGGAAAAGTGTCTATTCGGGTCCTCTGCCAATTTTTTAATTATTTTTTGGTTGTTGTTGTTGTTGAAATGTATGAGTTCTTTATACATTTTGCATATTATCCCTTATTGGAAGTATCATTTGCAAATATCTTCTTCCATTTGGTTTGTTGCCTTTTTGTTTTGCTGATGGTTTCCTTTGTTGTGCAGAAACTTTTTAAGTTGAGGTAGTCCAATTTGTTTATTTTTGCTTTTGTTTTCCTTGCTTTTGGAGTAAAATACAAACACACCCATAAGACCAATGTCCAGAAACTTAGTTTTTCTTACTTGTATTTTATTGCTTCATGTCTTGCATCCAAGTTTTTAATCCATTTTGAGTTAATTTTTGTGTATGATGTAAGTTTCATTCTTTTGCATATTACCATCTAGTTTTTCCAATACCACTTATTGAAGAGACTTTCCTTTCTCTATTGTATATCCTTGTCTCTTTTGTTATAAGTTATTTGCCCTCATTTATATGGGTTTATTTATGGGTTCTCAATTCTGTTTCATTGGTCTGCATGTCAGTTTTTCTGTCAGTACTATACTGTTTTGATTACTACAGCTTTCTAATACACTTTGAAACCCTAGAGTAGGGGTGTCGAACTCAATCAGAGAAGGGGCCAAAATCTAAAATCCAGCCTAAATTGCGGGCCGAATGGTTTACTGAACAGTCATAAACTGTCATTGTGATGGAAACGCAGCGGAGTGCAGTGATGACAGCGCGGTGCGGGCCACATTGCAAGGCCTGGCGGGACGGATTTGGCCCGCGGGCCTTGTGTTTGACACATGTGCCCTAGAGTATGATACCTCTGGCTTTGTTCTTTTTTCTGAAAATTGTTTTTGCTATCCAGGGTCTTTTGTGGTTTCACACAAATGTAAAATTTTTTTTTCTATTTCTGTGAAAATGCCATTGGGATTTTGATAGGGATTGCACTGAATGTATAAATTGCTTTTAGGCTCATTTTATTTTTAGTAAATTATGATAATAAGTGCCTTTGCATTTTGACAGGGTTGTTGTAAGATTTAATTAATAACAACAATAGTGAACACATATTGAGCAGGTACCACCAGCCAGATACTCTTCTTACATGTGTTCACTCGTTCAATACTTAAAGTAAGTCTTAAGATAAGTCATATTAATATCCTCATGTTACAGATAAAATAAAATAAAAACCTGAAGCACAGTATCTTGTCCACAGTCACATAGGTAGAAAGTGGTGGAAAGTAGGATTCTAACCTATGTAGTTTTCCAAGGTTTGTGCCTTAACCAAACACTATTCTGCCTCTCAGCATACTTAATGTTAAACTAGATGGTGCTGTAACATGCTTGACAAGAGCAGCTGACTTATAGTTTCAGAAGGAAAGGGAACCACCAGATGTTTTGGGCGGCATTTCAACTTCACTTCTAACAAAGAAGAATTGAAAACTGGTAGCTGCATGTGTTCATATGAAATGTCACACATGTTAAAGCAGCCCTAGAAAGTCAGAATAAAAGCCAGGGTAAATAAATAAAAAATGTCATTCTTGTCATATCCTGTTACACAGAGAACCTCTCTTAATACCCACAGACCACAGAAATAAAGCTGTAAGGTGAAAAGGAAACCTAAGATGACAAAGAACAATAGCTGTAGGCCTGTTGGCCCAAAGAAATAGTTGACTACCATTTCCCTAAATAATGACAAACTGAAAAGTAAGAAATTATACCCTCACTTAGAATTCCAGATGGTTAGTATCTTGCGACTTGACTGGTGTACAGGCAAGAATGCACTGGCATGCATGCTGGAATGCAGGGTCATTCCCTGTCACCCTCAGGTTCCCAGGGTGGATGTGGAAGAGCCGACTGTCTTCCTGCTTCCAGCACTGATGTTTTCTTTGTGGTAAAAAGCAGCAGCTTCCCCCTTTTGTTCACATGTTTCAACAGATATAACCCAGAAATACCCATGCATAATCCCATTAAAGTGGATTTGATTAATTGGTGACAAATTGGAACATTATGCACAGACCTAGTAGGTACTATTTTAGGACAATTCAAAAGAAGAAGAAAAAATATATTTCCACTGAGTTAAGGCACAACAGGATGAACACCAATGCCCCAATTTGCACTGTCCTAACCCGTAACGCCCAGTGTTCAGGAGGCTTTAAAGCAGAGTTAAAGAATAACACCACCCTCAGAAATAAGGTAGTGAAGAGATGCACTGAGCATCTTCAAACAGTCTGTGATAACTGAGATGAATATCTGGGGAAAAAAAAATGTGGAAACAAGTCCCCAAATGTGTACACCATGTGTGCATGTGCACTCATAAATACACACAATTTAAGGTGGATTGCTCTCCAGAAATGTAAAAGAACCCCAACAAAAATATTTTGGCTATTGATTATTCTTGAAAAGAAATAATGAAAAATACTGCCCGAGTTTATGTCATAATCACTTGTGCTAATTTATGGCATAAGATTCTCCAGCAGCGTTAAGGTCTTTAGTGTGTACTATTTATCTGGAAGAGGTAAGTCTATTTCACTTCTATATATAATGTGATACAGAAATTTCCAAAAGATTCAAGATAATAATAATAGACCAAAACTAGTCATCTCTAATTAGTTCGTTTGTTTTCTTTTGCCTTCTACATTTGCAAAACTAAAACAAACAAACAAACAAAAAACACAAAAAACAACAGCAGGGTACTTCTAAAATCTAAACAGTCTGATCTCCTTACAGCTGTAAGTAGTTTCTCAATTCCCAATCATCCATCAGACATCTTGTCTGCTTTACCTCCATGTTTGTATATATTAAATCATTCAATCTCTTGCCCCCTCCACCTGAAGGTCCAAGTCATCATCTTCTCCCCCTGAAGATAATGAAAGACCCTACTTGATGTTCCCTTCTACTCTTGTTCCAAACCATCCTTTCTCCAACAGCAAAGAGCAATATTTTAGAAAACAACTAGCATCTTATATTCCCTAGTATAAAACCCCTCTACAGGCTTCCTATCATATTTACAATAAAATCCAAACTCTTTATTAGAAAAAGAAGGTCATGCATGTGTCCCAGTCCTTACCTCTTCAATATTCTTCCACTAAGCCTCACTGGCCAGCCTTCTCTCTGTTCACAGAAGAGGCCAAATCTTGCCTCTTGTAGCCTTTTTTCTGAACCTTTTAAGATCATGCTATTCCCACAGATGTCCATGTAGCTGGCTTATTTTGGTCATTCAGCTCTTCTTTCAAATGTACACTCCTCAGAGAAGACTCCCTGACTAGCTAATCAAAGGCATCTATTCGTTCTGTCAACAAATACTTACTGAGTGCCTAATATGGGCCAGGCACTGGATTAAACTAAGGCTATATCAGTGAACAAAACAAACTAACAATATAAGACGTTTGCCAAATGAATGAGAGACTTTCCCAAGCATCACTGTATCTCAAGAGTACAAAACCTTTCCTTTGCTTTAGCCAGTAAGTATGATTTTTCTGGAGATATCATCAGGCATTTCTGAAATTCTTAGAATGCCTTAGTCAACATTGTACTCTATTTTTTCTCCTGGGTAAATACTATTTAAGAAATCCTTTCTCATGTAACACACAACTACAAATTGAGGCTACACCATCATTTTCCAAGGGTTCTCAGAGTATAATAGTATAATGTCACAATGGTCTCTTAAGAGAAATCTCTAATTTCTATAGAACAACATCAACCTGGTGGCTTATCAAGAGACACCTAAATGAGATGTGATCCCAAAGGAGTCTCCCAAACTCAGCACACTTACTTTGTGGACACCATTTGTCTTCTGCCCATCGATTGCAGTTATAATTATCTCCTGCATTTTCACAGGTAAAACACTTGAAGCTGTTTGGAAATGGTGTAGCTTTAAAGAAAAATGCACAGTGAAAAGACAAATATTTTTAACATTAAATATGCATAAAATTAGCAACTTGTATAAGATCAGACAAAATTTATAAGCCATTATGCTTAGAATTTCTGTTTCTAGGGAGCGAGACCTAACTGCCAGACTCTGGGGCAATTTCTTTATTCCCTTTTCTTTAACTATTTCATCTATAATTATCTATTGTAGAGTAATAAAAGTAAGTCCACAAGCCACTTTGAAATATTCATGATTTTTTCTATAATAATTTATAACTTGGGAATAATGGAGATCAAGAGGATGGATAAGGGTGGTGGCAGCATTAGAGCCAATAATTGGGTATGGTTTCATTCCTGAAAAGAACTGGAGTCAGATTAACCTGAGCTTGAACTCTTCCCTTCCCACTAATTGGTTGTATAATTTTTAACTTCAAAGAAATAATACTATGTATAATAATAGTAACAATGAGGGTCCCATGACTTGCAGAGGTATAGTGAAGATTGCAAAGCAGGTGGCAAGAAAAATATCTAATGGAGTCAGTCCCCAGCACATCAAATCATGCTGGTTTCCATCCACACATGCTTCTGTTTTAGTTTCATTTAACCACAATCAAACAATCTTATTGGTATATATCAATTATTACATTAGACCTCAACTAGGAATGTAACTGTTAATACAAGGATGATAGTAATTCTCAAACCCTATGTTCAGGCCAGGTTATTATGGAAAGAAGAAATTAGAAGCTGCTGGCAGTCTGGTTTGAGAGCAACTAGTATATTAATTTCTCTTTTTTGTCTTTGTGCTTCTTTCCTATCGTTTATCTTGTTATTTTAATGAGCACAAAATGAAAAGTACAATAAATTTGACATTTTCTATGAGCCAGTGTACGAAGCTCTGTGTGAAACTTTCACCTCAAACCATCCTAGTATCCTGACCACAGTTGAGATGATAATTAGAAAGCAGCAGGTATTGAAGATACAGGGGGGGATAAATATTGATGCATAAAACAAGAGTAAGATACCAAAGGTGTGGGAACTGTATTCAAAGGAATGAAATTAAGTATTATACATACATTTCAGTTTTGCCTATGTATAAAAGTGAATTAGGTAAAAAAGAAGTAATGAAATTCATTTCCACCTAACTAAAGCAGTACAGTTTTAAAATTATCAACACTTCAGTAACAAAAGGAAAAGGGTTAAGAAGTATAAATTGCTAGTTACAAAAAGGCACAGGGATATAAAGGACAGCATAAGAAATATAGTCAATAATATGCTAATAACTATGTATGGTGTCAGATGGGTACTAGACGTTTCGGGGGATCACTTCATAAGTTATATAAATGGCTAACCACTATATGGAACATCTGAAACCAATATAATATTGTATGTCAATTATAATATAATTTTTTCTTAAAATCTAAAAAAATACTACTAGTTAATGCTGGTGAATGAATGTCCTAAATAATAAACAAAGTCCAAAGTGGAAATCAATAATGACACAGACTTCCTTTAGGAGTTATGTAAAGACTGTGGTTCCCAAACCTGGCTGTGTATCTATAGTATCAGGAGAACTATTTTAAAGGAAGAGGAAGGGGGAAAAGAAAAAAAAATCACACAGATAATTTGTATCCCACCCTCCTGACCATTGAATCCCTGGAATGTGTAGTTTTAAAGGCATTTATCATGATTCTGATACTCTTTTCGGTGTGGGAACCACAGGCATTCACATTTCTGCCAACAAATTTTATCTATAACAGCCTCTCTCTAATGATGTATATCAGAGAAGTAGAGAAGTTTTACTTGTCTGAAGAGAAAGAAAGGAGAGAAGATGACATATGTATACAAGCACATAAGCACACACATATATGTATATAAAAATATAAATCATCATATAGATAAGATATGCTATTTGTTTACTTTTAGATTATTAGTAACTATGCATAATATTCATGAAAGTTCAAGTATATTTCCTCCAAATTTTACACATACTAATCTGTTTTCAAGATTGTTAATGGTCATTGAGCCCTGGCCAGGTGGCTCAATTGGTTGGATCCTTGTCCAGTGTAACAAAGAGTTGTGGGTTTGATCACCTAGTTGGGGCAAGTATGGGAGGCAACTGATTGCTGTTTCTCTCACACATTGGTATTTCTTTCCCTCTCCCTCCCCCTTCCTCTCTCTCTAAAAATCAATTAAATAAACACATATCTTCAGGTGAGGATTAAAAAATAAATTTTTAATGGCCATCGATAGAATATGTCATCGATGCAGAAACTTCCTATAGCCAATATCCTCCTCCAGTGAAGAGAGGAACAAAGAACACTGAATTTGCTCTGCTACACCATTTGTAAGGACAGTGCTGAAGAGATTATCTTAAACAACAACCCTTTGGAAACTTCAGCAGGAAGCCAAAGCATTTTACAGAAATGGAGAGAATATCAGAAATAGTGAAGATTTTCTGTCTTATTATTGGTATAAACCAAATAAACCAAATGGTCTCGAAAAGGCAAATTTACTACAGGTGGAAACAGAAACTTCAAATAGGCATTCTGGTCCCACAGTCATGATCTATGATGGTAACCACTACTTACGGTCGAGAGGAGGCCTCACATTATAGAAGTTGATGTTCTTGGCAAAGGCCCGGTTTTCCAAGAAAATAAAGATCTGGACAACTGCTACAGCTAGAGCATGGCAGAAGAGCAGCATTCTGACCTTGGGTCTGGGCAAGTCCAAAACTCATATATCTACAATGAAGAGAGAGATGGGTTGAGTTTATATGCATTTTGCACATCAATAGTAGTATGTTTTGCTTCTCTTTGGAAAACTTAATTGTTCAAATATATTTAACCATCTTGTTCTGGAGGACCAGTGCCTGTGTGGGAACTGTATTCTTTCTGATCAAAGTTAAGCAATGACCGCTTTCTACTGATCAGGCCTCTGTTCTAGCCAGCTGAGTCTTAGCAAGACATTCAGTGACCATTTGGGTTCCAGAAGAACAAGCAGCCAGTACTGGCCTGGCTGCACCCCCCTCCCCACCCCACCCTCGGCCCATCACTGCTTCAGGCTGGCCCACTTCACTTCCTGCTGAATCACCTCACTTCCTAACAATCACGGTTCGGAGGCTTGTTCAGCTGAAGTTACTGAACCGTCTGTCCATTCCATTCCATTCCTTGAGTAAACACTTACATTCCAGAAATTTTGCAACTCTTTCAAAACCTGGAGAAAACAATAAAAGTTGAAGCAGTAGGAAGAACAGTGAGTAAAAGGACAATCAGTCTGAGACATCAAGTGTCTGCTGGGTCTCAGGGTACACAGGCAGTGAGTGAGAAGAGAAACAAGAGTCACTGTGAAATGCCATCCCACTAGTTTCTGTCATGTTGGGTACAAGAAGAAGCTGCCAGGGGTTCTAGAGAAAGCATAATTACAGTTGTTTGAACAGCTGAAAACCATATCATATTCACGGACTTAAAGTAGGCAGGACTGAAACCCAACAAAACAGCAGGCATGCTCAAACCCCTGAGTCAAATATATTTTTATTGATTTTTAGAGAGAGAGAAAAGGAGAGAGAGAGGGAAAAAAAATTGATGTGAGAGCAAAACATCCATCGCCTCCCTCTGTATGCCCCCATCAGGAGCATGTTCCCTTACTGGAAATTGAACCAGCAATGCTTTGGTGCACAGGACAAAGCCGAAACAACTGAACCACACCTGCCAGGGCAAAATATATTAATTTTTAAGCTCCATAGGTTCTGCCCTCTAGAAGCAGACCAGATAGTAAGATAATCTTCAGGAATAATGCTCAGAACCTACAACAGCACCACTGACAGGTTCTCTTTGACAGGGGGAGAGGTAGGGCAGCAGAAAAAGTATAGTATGTAACTTGGAATCCAGAGACTTTTATTCAGGTGCTGGCTCTGCTATTTACTAGCTGCCTGACCTGGGCAAGCTCTTTAAATTATAGCAACTTCAATTTCCTCATCTGTAAAGTGGCTTAATGACATCTACCCTGCCCACTCGTGATGTAGGATCACATAGGATCTCGTATGTAAGAACACTTATAAGTTCTATGACAATGCTGGAATCTTATAGTTCAATAATATTGGCTGAACTCATTTTCCAATCAACTGGTTGCAGTGGGTACAAAGAGTTTTTCCAAAAAAAGTTTGCTTTCCACATATATAGTCATAATCATTCACATGGAACTTCTGTTTGAAGTGGTATAACAATGTGTAAGTTCTAGAGTTTTATTTCCCCCTCTTGTGTTGTGAATATATTGGTTTTGCATGTGTGGCTAAAAATGCCTACACTTGGATATGGAACTGATTATTAGAGAAAATGTAGCCACATCATGATCTCATTCCAAGTCCCTAAGGAAGTATTCAGGGCTGAAAAAACAAAACTGGTAAGTTTCACAAAATAGTAGTGCTAAACTTTGTATACCACATTTCAGCTCAGAAAAGAATTGGACCTAGGACATATAAACATATACATAATTCTACCCTGGTTCATTTTAGAAACTAAAATTGACCTTTCATAATTATTAGATTTCTAAAACCCATTCTTATGCTCTTTCTGAAGAAACATACATTTAGCCAATTATTTTATACCCTACAGACAAGGATTGTATTGATACAAATTTTGCTTCTCCTGTTTATCTCTCTGAGTGGGACTATTCTGTATTTATTATGAATATATGGCCAAGTTATGCATAACCCCAAGCAATGTAAGACCCTTTGAGTCAAGGAGGAGGGCTAATATATCCTTCACAAATTTCAAAATGACTGTGTTCCAAGAGTAATCTAAAGTGTTTTTATAATTTGAGACGATGCCTACAATCATCTAAGATCATTGATTTCACTTTGTCTACATTCAATTCCCTTTTACATCACTAAGCAACTATGGGGCCTTGGGCAAGTTGCTTAAGCTTTCCAAGCCTCAGCTTCTCCACCTGTAGAAAAGGCATAAGGACAGGACCTACCTCAATGAAGAAGTGAGGACAAAACCTTAGTGTAGAAGCGAGGACAGAATGACATCATGTGGATGAAGCACTTGGTCAAGCGCTGGACACATATTAAAGCTGAATGTATCAAGCACTTCTAGGTGGTAAAGAGCACTGGCTCAAAGACCTGCTTCCAAGCCTACTATCTATGTAGTCTCAAGCAAGTTCCTTAATCTCCCTGTACCACCATTTCTGCATCTATAAAATGAAAGTAATAATAATACCTATCCCATAGGGTTATAGAAATAAAATCAGTTAACACATGTAAAGCACTTGAACTAAATTATCTATGTGCTCAGCATTTTGATAATTCTTATTAAGTAAACATTTAGTATCATGAAAAAATCCCCACACCATTTGAAATCACAAGTCAGAAAAAAAAAAAAAGTATGTTTTGCTCTCACATCATTGTTTTTTCAGAAAACACTTTTATTCACTGGATCCCCAACAAGGTCATTGCTCTCATACAGTCTGCATTTTAGAGAGAGAAAACAGGAAATAAATATGATAAAAAGCATAATTACAGATAGCCATAAAGTTTATGAAGGAAATATGTAAGGAGGTACATTAGTGAATAGAAGGAGCTATTTTTATATAATATATGGTGAGGCCAGTATGTCTCTGCTGGGTGACATTACATGCTAATTAAATGATGAGAAGAAACTGTCCAAGCAAAAAAATCAAGGGGATAGAAACCAAGGTCCTAAGATGAGAAGAAGTGCACCTTGTAGGGGGTGATTTAGGAAGCAGCCAGTGTGACTGGCGCGTGCTGAGAAGGGGAATGGACAGACAAGTCAGGGAGTGGAGGAGTCGGGCACTTCCAGGCCATGGTGAGGATTTCAGATCTGGCAAAGCCAATACATTGCTTAATTTTAGACTATCTTGCTTTGAAAAGCAAGAATGCTTCATCTCTGTAGAGCAGTTGGTCCCAAACTCCTCTAATAATGAGGAATATAGAATTCAGAAAAACCACAGAATTTCTCTGAATGAAAAAAAATGAATGGACAATAGAGAACTTAAAAACTACTGCATTGACAACAAAATCAAGAGTTAGAGTTGTTGTTTTTTTGGTTTATTCTTCAAAATTGGAAAGAATAGGTTGTCATCAACCTTATACAACTGAGGAAAGAGAGGTTTAGAAGCCATATGCACAAAAATCCTAGCATGCAGGTCCTCCAAATATTTACACATAACTCAGTCAACCTACTACTCTTAGAAGAATGTTGCTTCTGTATAGACTAGATGTATTTTCATTTCCATTTTTAACTAAAACAGCATAGCCTTTTTCTATCAAAATTCTCTCCCAACGCAGAGGTTTTACCTGTAGGATAAGGAAAGCACTAAATAAAAATGTCTCATTTCCCAGAGCACGTTTTATAGTCTGTTATCACTTCTGGTCCCCAACCTCACCCCGGTCCAAGCACCTATATCTGTCTATCCATTTTTCAGTGTATAGGTTTGGGTTAACATGACTGTTTTATTTTTACAACTGAAAGACATTAGGATCATGAAAAAGCAAATGATTAACTATGGTATTTGAAAGTTGTTTTACATTTAGAATCATTTCACGGAGACTCTAAACTAAAAATTATCTGCTGAAACTGCTGAGCAGGCTCTCACTGCAGTTTTTGTTGCAAAACAAGGTTACAATAGAGCTTGTATTTTGCTCCAGAAGAGAAAAGAAATATTTGAGACATGTTAGACTAAAGCATTCTGGTATCTTCTCCAACACTGTCAGAGAGCAGAGTTCTTCACGTAGAGGAGGAGTGACCTATGAGCTTCTTAAGGTTATTGGCAAAATTGTGTGTCTATACACATGTCCTCAAAGGAATCTGAGACCCATATGATGGTTAAAAACAGCTGCTTGCTTGATTCCTTCTTGATCCATCATATGGGTCAAGACAAGCAACTATTTCCCAGTTGGAGCCATGGTAGCCATCTCATCCCCATGTGGCATTTTACACTTCCATGTGGCATCCTTGACATTATAATTTTTTTTGGGGGGGGGGGCAGGGGATGACTTACATCATTTTTCTTTTGGCTTAATGAGTTTGGCTTTCATTAATCACAATTATCATTATACATACACAGAAACTGGTACTCAATAAATACTTTTTGGGAAGAACCAACATCATTAGCTTTGACTTATAAGGAGCACCTCTCTTTATATATATGTTAAATATATATATAAATTATATATATATATATAATTTATTTCAGAGAGGAAGGGAGAGGGAGAGGAAGGGAGGAGAGAGAGAGAGAGAGAGAGAGAGAGAGAGAGAGAGAGAGAGAGAGAGAGAGAGAGAGAAACATAGAGAGAAACATCAATGATGAGACTCATCAATTGGCTGCCTCATGCACGCCCCCACCCCTACCCCCACTAGGGATTGAGCCTGCAACCCAGGCTTATGCCCTGACTGGGAATTGAACCATAATCTCCTGGTTCATAGGTTGATGCTCAACCACTGAGCTACGCCCAGCCGGCAGAAGCACCTTTCTTAACAAGTAAGAATAGTTGTGGGCAGTAAGGAGCTGACAAGGTGTCCAAGATAATAAAGAAATATGAACTCAGGAGAGTTCAAAAAGAAGAGACAAAACAGAGGAAGTAAACACTGGCATTTCTTGCACATGGCTAAAAATGAGTCCGCAAGCACAAGGCCAACTTCAACTGCCAATAAAATAAATGAAATAGATAATTTAAGGAAAGCAGCTCTACTAAGTTCAGCATGCCTATCAACATTCACAT